TCCAGTACCTTCTATCTGCTTTTGCTGTCGGGTGGCGGTGCACATGCGCGTGAGAGTTGTTTAAAGTAGATGTATAATCACAGAATTCCCTCCCATTTTTATGCTGTTTGGTAAGCTGAAAACTTCTTTTTAACGTATTTTAGCATTGATGAATGGCAGTGTTCCCTGTAAATTGTGCACTTGTGCAGCCACTCAGGGGAGATTCAAATGTCAGCCAGTTGATTAGCCGAACACTCATAGCTATGTTTTGTTGTACCGGGGGTGCACATTTGCACTTGCCTCGGAGTACATAAAAAAATGTATTCTGCACATGAATGGAAAAAATCTGCTTCTGGATGGGAAAGATTAGAGGGAATATTGGTGACTGGGATGGAGTGAGGTACCGACCGGGCAGACTGTGATTTGGGCCAAGCTGCTTCCCCACAGTGTCCTGTTGACTGACCTGAAACCATCTGTACATATGACAGAGTTCAGTCTCCATGGCCCATTCAGTTCTTGGCTTCTCTGCTGAACATGGGAGGTAATTATAGAGGTTATTGTGGTAGATCTTGCCTGAGACCCCTGGCACGTCCTCCAGAGATGTATTGGTGAGGTCTCTTACATGAAAGTGACAACTTAAAAGTAAATGGTCCCATTACTGATCTCCTGAGCAATCTCCTTCCAGTCTTCAGAGCACCTTAGCCAAGAGGTTTTTTTCAGTGTTTACTTCACCATATTGGCACAGAGCTGATGCAGTTCCGTTAATTAGAACTGCCCCTCCCCCCTCCTCCCCCCCGCCCCTTTGCTGGCTAACCGTCCTAGTCTGTTGCACAACAAAAGCGGTGGGAGCTGGTCTGTGCCATGTATATTTCTCTTTCTTTGACATTTTAAATCAAATTTATTGCTGCGACACTCTTCCTTTTTTAACATTTTTTTTAAAACTTTCTGATGACTGGCTGTTTAAAATTAGATGCTTAATATTTCTTGTCTTTCTGGATTCCGTCTAACGTGACATACAGCTGCCTCAGACTCATCTGTTGATTGAATCTAATCTGTCTATTAATGACTATTGTTAAATCTCAGTCTTTCCTGTTTGTGGGGCTCAGGAATCATCTCTTTATCACCTCTTTTGTCTTGGACCATGGAAGTGTGGCTCTTGCACTCTTTACACTATAGTGTAGCTCCCACTGATGTAAATCACCCAATACATTGACTGAATAAGTCTACCTGTACAACAGGGATTGTGCTTAGGTTGATGTACAGGGCTGGATTATCCAATAAGAAGACTAAGCATGTGCTTAGGGCACCAGCAAAGCAGGGGCACCAAAAAAATTAGATTTTTTTTTTTTTTTTGAAAAAATTTGATATTTCAAAAAAGGCATCGAAGTTGTCATTGTGGGAAAAGTCAAAACTCCACAGAATGCTCTTTTTCTCAGCTGAAAAGAATATAAAACCCTCAGAGAACAACAATGTGTCAGGACAGACTAGATTCACTTTCCCTATTTGTATGGAAGCGGACGTGCTTTGTCAAGTCAGCTTCGATGAATGTATCCAGAATTTTGCAATCAGAAAATCTAGAAAGAAGCTATTTTAATTTCAGAAGATATGTCAGTTTTGTGTCATTTCAGAAAATACAATTTTATTTTACGGTATAGTATTGTTTTTATTTTGAATTACAATTGGGGGGCACCATAATCTTCTCAGTGCTTAGGGCCTCTAAAAGTCTTAATCCGGCCCTGTGTCCTTAGGGTGACACGGTCAGTGTAGACACTGCGTTACTTACATTAGCTAGCGGCCCACGGCACCAGCCATTAGTGCTCCACACAGTTAAGTAAATGGAAGTGCTCCCACTGAGACAATGCACTGCCAGGAGAAGGATCATAGTGTGGATGTGAATCACTACTTTAGGTATTGCCATGGCTATACATTGATTTGACTTAATTTTGTTAGTATAGACAAGCCCTCAGCTACTGTCTGAGACATAGATTTGGCCTCCCAACAGGAATCCTGTTTGTTTTCTCCTTTTGAAGTGGGGGATTGATTCTTGCAGTTTAGCCCAGAAGTGAAAATCTAAGTGATTGCCTCATTATGGTGGCTCCCCTGTGAAGTCTAGTCTGGGTCATTGTCTTTCCTGATGTTTTTTGCCTTTCCTCCTCAGGTATGTGTCCCGTTACCATGTAAAGGACTCTGCACGCCATGTGATCTTGGGCACACAGCAGTTCAAACCTAATGAGTTTGCCAGCCAGATTAACCTGAGTATGGAGAACGCATGGGGCATCCTGCGCTGTGTCATTGATGTCTGCATGAAACTGGATGAAGGCAAATACCTCATCCTCAAAGACCCCAACAAGCAAGTGATCCGTGTTTACAGTCTTCCTGATGGCACCTTCAGCTCTGATGAGGAGGAAGATGATGAAGAGGAGGAGGAGGAGGAAGAAGGTCTGTAGAATTCTCCATGACTAAGGCCTGAGAGAAAGGGGCTAAATGTAACTGCGGGGGTTAAATCAGCATTTTCAAGACCCCTATCAAGGTGTGGGGGGTGTAGAGAATATACAGTCACTGTGGGCCTTTCAGTCAGTGGTGAAAGTAGAGTAAATGTGTTAAGTACTGCCAGAGATTGGAAGGATGATGAAATAAATACAGAGATATAAAAACATGACTAGAGAGAGAGCACATGAGTCACACCATTTGGAGGCTCACTGGTTTCCTCTCAGATTAATTAATCTGAAACACTGAATGGAAGGGGGAGTCACTTGGGAAAGGAAAGCTCAGCTCAGTAATACTGCGACATGGGAGGTAGTGGTGACTTATTTCAGCACAAATGGCTGATAACTCAGTGCTACTGTGAATTAAGCCATCATGAAATTTTAGATAAAGAGGAAATTCAAAGTGAGACATTACAAATGAGTAGCTAGATGGGGGGGGGGGACCTTTTTTTTTTGGGGGCCCCATGCAAGGGAGAAGCAAAAAATAAAAATAAAAAACC